CGCTGTTTTCAAAAAGAAATAATCTATCTGAACAATGGGGATAATGGACTCTTCCGGATGTTTGTGTGGAGATTGCTTGGCACGCCCGTGCACGCAGAATTCGCACCAAGCACGGAAAGGTATGTGCGTAAGATTGTGTTCCAACCGCTCTTCGAGTGTTGGTCCAGTGGGGATTCTGGGAGCCAACGGCTTTTCTCCTTCGTCGACCTCCTCTTGCTCTGGCTGTGACGCTGGTGGCACCTTCGAGGGCCTAAACATGGTTATCGACTGAAACGGCTGATGTTGCATCCAGGGAATGCGGTCAAACGTCTCATACTTGTGATGCAGGTCTGCTATCGACACGTCATCTTCCAGAAGTTTCCACACATAACCTTTCAACATTTGGACCCAGGTTGTCCTGCGTCCGTCCACCATGTTCTCCAAACAAAGAAACCCGATTGGAAAATTAGTTAAAACATATGTGACATCATCAATCACATGCGTCCCTGGAGGAAGTATTTGAACCGCTGCTGGCGGCTCAGTTTTGCTCGAAAACTGTGCGCTTGATCCTCCTGCCTGTTGGGGTGCGCTTCCCGAGAGGCTCTGCTGAGCATCAGTTGGGTTTCTGTTTTCTTCGTGTGACCGTTGCTTCTCTGTGCAGGCTGGTGTATCTGGACGGACAAACAAAGTGATGGTTCGTCCTGGCATGATGTCGTCTTCTGGTCTCTGCATTGTGGTCCAATCGACGCGGTTTTCCAAGAGGGTCCAAGGAAGTCTGGACCATTTGACCCACGTGATTCGCAATGGGAATTCCTGCGAAACTTTGTCATACGACAATTTGCGCGGTAGGCGTCCGATGGGCACGCGAGCCTTTTGAGCTCCGGGCGTTACCACATAAGGTTCTCCCTCAGAGGTGGTCGCCCAGATTTCTGTGTACAGTTTCGCTGGGATTGTCTTCAGGAGCTCCTCTGGCGGTTCATCCAAAGGTCTGAGAGCCGCCGACTGAATCGATTGATTTTGCACAATGGGCATAATATGAGTTGGATCTGCAAACCGGCAGTCAGCTCGGTACAGAAAACCCCGTTCTTTGATGACGATTTTGTTTGGTATGCTAGGGCCTGTTAGCGATAACGACTTCGAGTCGAAGACAAAATGTATGCTCTTTTGTTTTGCTAGCCGGTTGATGCTCATCAAAGTTGTGCATGCTTCTTTAAATACGCCGAATCGCACCACCAACACGACTGACGCACCATTGTGTCCTAGGATCACGATCGGGACGTCCTTGTGTCTTAAGCGAGTCATGTTGTGCCCTGATGCTGTTACTCCTGCCGTCCCCTGGGAGGGGATAAGAGGAATATGAGGAGCGAACTTTTCGTTGCATACGTGATCAAACGTGCCGGAATCCATCAATACCTGAAATGGTGCATTCCGTTGCGACCTCTCTGGTGCGTTCCCCCATGGTGTGATGAACATGTTCACGCCCTGCCGTCCGTTGGTCCCAGCACCCATCAGTGCTGAGAAGAACAACGCTGCCAACACTGCACACCACATGGTTTTCGACACGACTGAGACAGGAAAACGGGTTACATCACTGAAAAAACGTTCCCCGACCCCCCGAATCCAAGAACACGTGACTTTATGATCGATTTCGTAGGGGTGTGTCGAATCGTCACAAGATATGTCGAACCACTGGGGGCATTCGAAGAACTCAACCTCTGACTCCTCGCTCGCGGGGTCTATCCGAGAGCCCGCTGTTGCACCCTGTATGTGATTGGCCTCGCTCGTGGGATCAGTCTGAGAGCCCACTGAAACAGTTTCCACGATCCTAATTTGGTCAATTCTCACATCTGGAGCCCCGTATTCGATATCGAGTGCGTCCTCGCCTTCTGGCAGAAAGGCGCTCGCCGGTATCAATGCCGCAAACTCCTCGGGGGAGTGCTGGGGGTATGAACTCCAATCTGCGTCGTCCTGTTCGGCTCCTGCGTCCCGGTTACCGTCGCCCTGCTCATCCCAAGACCAACCGGGACCCCACCAGTTCTGATCCCAGGCCTGTTCATGTGAGTGGCTTCCTTTTCCTGACCGCTGTTTCCCTTTGCCGTTGAACCTGCACTCTGACGTCCAATGGTTCTTCATCCTGCAAATGTCGCACCATTTATTTGCGGAAGGATTCCAACCAGTCTTGCCTCCACTATTCGAATATTCCTTACCCTTGCCTCCAGTGCTCGACTGATCTTTCCATTTACCCTTACGGTCATGTTGGTGCCAACCCTGAGCCTGGGTGGAGGAACCCAGTCCTTGCCAAGAGGATGACGGGTATCCACGGCCAGACCCCGCTCCGTGGGAATATCCCTTAGGAGTGCCCTTGGGGATGCCTTTCGGGGATCCTTTGGGAGAGCCCCTATTGTCACCCTTTGGGAATCCTTTCGGAAAACCTTTCGGGGTACCTTTCGGAGAACCTTTCAACACATCTACTTCCATAGGTTTGGGGCCGTTATCCTTTCTAGCGTACGGGTTTTTCCACTCACGTTTGATTCCTACGTATTTGTGTATCTCTCGTTTGAGGTCTTCGTAAGTTTCACACAAATGGCTGTTCAAGTCGAAATGTGTCTTCATGGGTTCTGGGATCGTCTTCATAACCACGCTAACTATCACATCGTCTGCTAGCTCGTCAGGGCTGGCTAGGTCGTCGTACTCTTTGATTCGCAACTCCATTTCTTCCAGGCGCTCAAGATACTCTGGGAGGGAGGCGCCCGCGAAACTAAAGTCCATGACCGCATTCAGAACTCCTCTTTTCGTATTTTTGTCTTTGTGTTCATACCTAATGCACATCCTACGCCACATCTCAAGACCATTACCTTTCTCGATCTTCCTGAATACTTTCGTCATCTCTCCGTACACAACGCTCTTTAGAATGTAAGCTAGGTTCGCAGAATGTTGTTTTACATCTTCTTCTGTAGCTGCTAGTGTGATGGGGTTCACATGTTCTCGTGCACGTTGCATGTGTTGCAACATGTATTGGCTCACAGCTCCACAATATGATTCGAAACGATAACACCAATCACTCCAATCATTCTCATCACCCGAGAAATCTTTAAGACCACGTCCTAACAACTTCGTGTCAATCACTGCTGCCATTGTTCCTACACTAGGTGTCTTCCCAGAGCCCTACTTGGGTTGGGGATGCTACTCTACAGCGAGTCTTCCCAGAGCCCTACTTGGGTTGGGGATGTATCCTAAGTCCGTGTATTTGTCACCACGGCTCCGCCACCATGAAAAGATAAGCGGGTGATTTCGATATGGAGGAATTTATCCTGGGCTCGAGGCTCAAGCCGGCTGCGGGTGAAGGAATCGTAACAGGAGGAGGAGGAGGAGGAGGAGGAGGAGGAGGAGGAGGAGGAGGAGGAGGAGGAGGAGGACAAAGAGGAGGAGGTAGGACGGAGCACTGACTTTAGTGGGGATGGTGAGGGTAGGAGGAGGATATGCGAGGATTTAAGGAGGAGGAGGCGAAGGATGAAAGGAGGTGGATGGGGAGGAGCATGAGGAGGAGGAGGAGGAGCAGGAGGAGGAGGACAAAGAGGAGGAGGAGGAGGAGGAGGAGGAGCAGGAGGAGGATGGGGAGGAAGAGGAGGAGAAATAGGAGGAGAAATAGGAGGATGAGGAGGATGAGGAGGAGGAGGAGGAGCAGGAGGAGGAGGTGGAGGAAGAGGAGGTGGTGGAATCGCCGTCGCTGCCCCAGCAGCGGCGGGGGCGATGGCCGCTGCCGCCACAGCGCGGGTGCCCTGGCCTGTCTTGCCTCCGCCGCTGGTGTGGCCGCCAGTGCAGCCGCCTCCCACATTGGACCAAGGCTCGACCTAAACGGTGTTTTTGCGATATCCTGTGCCGCTTTCGCTTGGACTCCGTCGTGACGCTCAGGGGGACTGAAGACAAGGCGAGTTAACACGAAAACGAAACGAGATCGCAAAAGGCTGTTTACGGCGATCCGTGCATTGGACTCTGGAGGCTTCACTTCGCCGGGCTCGGCAAGGCCGAGCCCATCCTGGGCCCTCGACCGGTGCGGAGGGGCCAACTCGTGGCCCAGGCCGCTGGAGGGGCCCTGCATGGGCCCAGCCTAGGGGGGGCGGACGGTCCCAGCACCATGCTGCCACTTGCGCCATGGGGGAAACGGGTCCTCGAGGGACACGGGTCCTGAGGTTCTTCGCCGTGTTCGGGGGCCTTCCACGGGCCCTGGGATTGTGACTGTCAGCAAACGGTTCAGGATGAACAATTGGTCCTGGGGGAAGCCTTGGGGCCCAGGACCTGCTTCCCTCAGGACCCGTTGCCCAAGTGCTGCCACTTCCGCAATCGCCGTGATGGCCACCACCCCGAACATCCGCGATGTGTTTTTCAATCCGCGGCCCCAGATGTCTCGACCGCTGCCCCGTGGGTATCGTCGGAGAGCGAGGTGGGGCATGCTGCCACTTCGCAGGAATGGCCGCGACGCCGCTGAACCAGTTTGAATTGTTGTCGCTTCGCGAATCCCCACCAGCCCATCCAGAAACGATGGCCAGAGGAATTGCCTCGATCAGAGAAGTGGGCAGCACACAGAGGAAGCCATTATGAGACATCTTGGGATATCTTGAGCCATCTTGGAGGTCATTTTGGGCTCTCCCAGACGCTCTTGGCGTCATCTTAATCCGTGCCCCCCCCCAAGAGGCCTCCATGTGGCTAAAACCTGTGTAGAATCAATGATTAGGCATTCTCGCCGAGGCCTCTTGGAGCATCTTGGGTGCATCTGGGGGGGCTCTTGGGGCCGCTTGGGGGTCTCGTGGGGGCCTCCGGGGGGC